AGATCCTCTCGAAGTAGTCGTAGCAAGAACTTTCCATCAGCAAATGACAGTGTCGGTGGAACGCCACAGTTCTTTCAACAGGATGAAATCTCCTCAAGTTCTGGCTACGATGATTTGGTACAAATTGATGGCGAGTCCTTCCACCTCATTTTGATGCCAGCCTACCTTCCTGGAGGCGCTCATACGTTGCGTCAGATGCGATCAGCTTTGTTGAGGATCTTTCAAACTGCACGCGACTGTGAAGATGATCGCAAAAATTCCAACTCTGTTGCTTCAGGCTACGGCAGTGAGAGGCAGGATGAACTGCTTCAAGCGCTTAATTCAATGGAAGGTAGAACTGCTTCACTTTTGTAAGTATAAATACTTCAACTTGTTGAATATTCTACTTTTGCATTGGTTATGCTCATTTCCTTCTGCAGACGTGATCTACAAGCATCACCGACATTTGTCAATCCGAATAGTTGCTCAACAGACTCCCAACCCAACTCTTCAACATCACAAGCCTTCACCGGTCCAACTGGTGGATCGGCAGGAGGATTGGATCCCATTGGTGGAGGCTCGTCTCTTGACCTTTTGGCCTACGACCACTTGCATTCACAGCATCTAATCAAGTCGGAGAATAGTTTCTTACAGCCATTTTCTGGTCAAACCAATGAATACCATCGCAGTCGCCTAAACTATCCACCTACACTCACAACACCCCTTGACAGCGCACATCAACAACGTGTGAGCGGTTGTTTTGACAACCACACCAGTGGAAACGATCTTTCAACATTTAATGGTATCAGTATGGACTCCTCCACTGCTGCGGCTTATGCAATGATGCCTTCGGCTTTCCAATCCTTTCGAGACAACGATTCCATTCACCACTATCAACCGAATGTCTTTATCACGTCCTCTCAAAACACCGTCAACTCGTCGGGCTCCTCGGTGGTCATCTCCCAAGACAACAATGGCGCTTTGGTTGCAGCCTTTGGAGCAGCAGTTTCTTCATCACAAAGCAGTGGCAAACTCTTTGAAGAGATCGCCAACAGTAGACAACAACAATGTCATCAAACAAGTGGAACTGATGTCTCCATGGTTCGTGATATTGCTTAGCCACGTGATTTTTCTAACCAAAATCTTATAATTGGCAGACAAACAAGGCAAACTGTTTGTACAGCCACTCCCTAAACTGCTGTTAACCAATTCTATTGGCTAACACAGATGCCCTTTGTCTTTCTATTAAAGTCACCGGAGCCATTCTAGACTCGAGGTAAATGGCTGTTTTAGCGGCAAACCTCCCCCCTCCCCTTTCCCCCTCCCTCCTTCCCTCCCCTTTACTCTTTGTGTGGCTCTTTAAAATGAATTTAACTTCTGTGGTGACACGTCTACTAACGCTCCTCAAAAAATCCGTCAACATTTGAATCACACGAGCCCTGAACCCGCCTAACTTTTCCCTCATTGTTACACTTAATGCTACACTGTAACGCCTCAATTGTGATGCTAAAATGCCTGTCATCCTGTTAATCTAGAGCAATTCCTCGTGTGGCACAGCTTCACCCATCTCTCCGACTTCGTCAAACAAGAATTAACCAAAAGGGTGACCTTCATATCACTTTCCTGTTTCACTTCCTCCCTCATACACACTTGTACATAAGGCTTTGTCACAGACGGTGCTGTCTATAACTCTCCCTGCGTCTTGTTCACGCTCCTTTCTGGTATTGTAATCAAGTTGCTTGTTCAAGTACAAAGGAAGAAAAGTCATTTCATGCTTTCTGATTTGAGTATAACTGAAATCTCTTTTGTCATTCATGAAAGTGTCTATTAAATTGTGTGTTACAGCCTTGGAACGTGTCAGGTTGGAAAAGGTGGGTGGAGAATTTGTTGTAAAGCGCCTCCTCCGCACACCTCACTCCGATCCGACTTTCACCAGCCACAGTCGATTTTGATGTGCTTCAGGTGGCTCCAGAAGGGTTTAAAGCACTTCAGACTTAAACCACCGGTATTGTGATGCGCCTTTGTGAATAACCGATCTTTGAAAGTCAAAAAAGGGAGAGATAGAGGGAGTCGACATGAGTCGCCTTTGAAGTTGCGCCTCTTCCCCTTACATTATTAGTTTTGTGTTGATGATTATAAAAACTACTCAAACCAACAACCGAAGTGATGAGTCAGCTAGGAGGTACCATTGCCTTGTGTGTGTGGTCATTTTTCATGAATATGTGAGTCGGTAAGTCCTAAGTCGCATAGGGCGGATCGACGGTAATGGCACATCAGTAGCACAGGCGGATGCTTTTGTCAGGCATAGAGATGTGACAATCTCAACTGTGAGGGTGGAAATAAGAGAGACGATTGAGATGGAAAATGATTTGGAGGCGTTAGGACACAGGTGACAGGGGATTGGTTAATTGGTAGGTCAGGTTAAAGGTAATTGGGGGGAGCGATCGACCAATGAGATCAGAGGTGTCAAAGCAGGCCGAAATATGGCAGTGGTAGCGACTGTGTGGAAATTTTGAGTCTTCAATGCTTGCAAAATTACAGATTCATCCTCGTGAGGGTGTTTTGGTAACTTATCAACGTAACCTTGGGCAACGCCAATAACAAAGCAGCTCTCGTCTTACCGGTCATGTCAATCCTCTCGAAGGCGTCCAAAAGTCAAGGCCAGGAACAGAAATGGACAAAAAAATTAACTATTTTCTAGAATTTCTACAGATTTTCGTGGTTAGAAATGATTTCTGAAACACACAAAAAGGAAGGAGAACTTGGCAAATCCCTCTAGCAGAGTTACAGGATAGTTGGACACTTGAAAATGGTCTAGTAGGTCAAACAGCCCTAAATCACACTCCCCCGGCGAGATGAAAGGCTTGAAGAATGAAATTTGATAGGCGAACGCTTGTTTGTAATTAGAATGAAGTGCTCGAAGGTGCATCCATTGATACGTTGTCTCTCATTCTCACTTGTGGAGGACCAGGTGGTTAACCGTTTCGATGGGTGAGCAGGTGAGTGAATGCAAACGTGCATGTGGAGC